TTTATTACATCCTCAAAATTTCTCGAATATTACAATTTCTCAATAGGCGCTTGTAAATTACGTCGAAAGTTTTCTTCGGCCCATTCACGTTGTAATTTCCACTCCCATTCATCCAGGCTATTCATCTTCCTTAATTGTCCCCTTTAAAAGACCCCATCGATTCTCAATTAGCAAGAAGTGAGTTACTTAAACCCAGTTATGCCAACGTACTTCGCGTTATTATGCCTTAAAATAAATTAGTCGTGTCAAAAAAGAGAAAAACATGCATAATTCACGCGGACCCCTGGCACGTACCAGGCCACTCGTCCGCTTTATGTTTCTTCGATCATGCCACGAGGATCCGGTCCAATGGCTTAAAAATGGAAGTCCCTTTACCGTCACTTAATCGCGGTATCGTTCCAAAGGTTTACGACGAACAAGAGCCACTGTTTTACGGCCGGGCAAACCTTCCCTCGCAAATCATTGTTTCTAAATGTTTCGGCCCTCTGAAACGCCGAGTTCCTTTCCATCGATCGAAAGATCGCGAGATCTCCGTTTTCCAAAGCTCTCCTCGAGGTGGAAACAAACCCTCCAACGCTGGAATAAAATCTCATCGTGCCTCCGGGCCGATTATTTCACCGGAATCTCTTCTTTTTTCATTTACCCCGACAAGCAGCGCCCAGCTTAGACCGTCTTCTTCTTCTTCCTTCGTTCCACGTTCTCGCAATGTTCCTCCTCGGAGTTATTTCCCAGGGCAGCTGACGCTTCGATGAAATTAGTACCGACGAAACGGGGAAAACGAGATCTGGCCTTTTCTTTCGGTGTTCTTTCGTTTCCCTCTTTATATCGAATTTTCGCGCCGGCTACGACCCTTCGTCACGCTCGCGTTGCCCCTTGCCGGGAAATCGGACGCCCTTCGGTGATCATCCTCGTGACCAAGATCACTTGGAACGGAATTTAAATCAGGGTACGACCTTCCTCCTTTTACGGCCCTCTACCCTATCTCTTTCATATCCCAAACGTTTGAATTTATAAAAGATATATACACTGGTGTCCGCTTAAATGTTCACCAGTTACACCCACCATTTTCCACAATTCTTCGCTCGATTTGTATCTCGACGCGTGAACGGAGAATACGAGAAGTATAGACGCGAACATCGCTGTACTCGTATTTGTTGGTATAAATCGGGTTATAAATATTTAGTGGATATGAGCGTCCTCGATTCCGCGTAACTCTAAAAATTCGACGCCAAGATCTCGAAGAGCCGTATGACATTCTTCGAGGGATCCTGACGAGACTACAGCAGTTCCTTAAATCAGACAAGAATTTGAAGATAGAGGCGTCATTCGCTACGGGGGAAACAAGAGACGTAAAATGTTTGCCTTAAAGTGGCAGTAGAACCTGACAATACTCCGGCCCAATTTCTCCAGTTGCAGTAGCCTTTTCTCTACTCGCTCTCCGACGCTGATTTACGTAGAGACGCAGGAAGAGGAAAGAATCGCGTTCCTCCGAGGCGGATAAGCACGGAGCCTCGAACTCCTGGGGGTAATTCGTGCGGAGATGCAAATATCGCGTGATAAAGGATGAAATTGTTACGAGGAAAGGGCTGCGGCGAGCTCTAAGTTAGGCCAAAGGTGCTCGCCGTTTTTCAGCGCCTGCATCCTGCTCCTACAGCACGAGAAGCTTACTCCATTTAATTACGAGCCCAGGTTGTTACGCCTTGAATTAGGAATGAAGATTTCCAGATATGCAATAACGATTCTTAAAACCGAACGTGAACCAGGTACCATGCTCGTCACGCGCAGCTCATAAACTCGGAAGTTATACATTCGGCGAGTAGGAAGAACGTAAACCAATTAATATCCGAATAAAATATCAGGATCCAGGTACGCGCTATTTAGAAAATAATATCTCTGGAAGAAAAAGGGAAAGACTTTGGTAAAACATTGATTATTTTCAATATCCTTTGCTTACACGAAGCTGGTACGAAAAACAGACGCTCAGCTCGAGGATACCCGTGTTTCACGAGTGTTCTCGTTAAGCGTGCTGTAAACAGAGAAGCCGAAGATGAACGGAGGAACCTGCTTCGTCGAGGAATCGTGGAAATTTAACATTGTACAGAAGCACGCTAATCGTAGTGAAAACAGGAAACGAGGAAGAACGTGTCGATAGCTGAACAATGTCCAGTTTCAATATCGAGATATTCCACATATTTGTTTCATACTTCTCGCGTTTCAACCATTTTTAAATCGCTTAATAAGGGTTGCGGAGAGAAACTGTTTGACCTTTGCTCTATGCCTATTGCGTAACCAAGTAAATGATGGGGAAACAAATAGAGTAACGCGTGGTTGGAAAATATGTCAGATCTGTATAACGAAACCCATTTCACGGCGCAATTGCGCGACGAGGTACGCGTGGAAACATTTCAACCCTCGGCTGATCGATTCTTGCACGGCTCGATCCGTTGGAGACACGTGAAAAGAGACGATGCGATAACGAAAATGGGAGATAATGGGAGAGAAAGAATGGAAGTTGGCGCTAATCAGCCAGCTTAACGACCCCTCCATCACCGACACGCATAGTCCGCGTCCGCCCCGGCGTGGCAATCACGCGAGCACGACGCGAGAGAGGAGTCATCGGGCTGAATTTGTCGACGCGAAAAGTCAGCGAGGATATATCGAAGCAGGAAGCGAATCAGTGGGAGTAACGCATGCCAGACGCGCTGGTCCGGCGATTTATTATTTTTCATCTGGTTTTCCAGCCGCCTCTTTTACCCCTTCCCTCTTTATTGCGCGACTTGGCCACGCAGGAGTGATTCGAGCCCGCGGCTTCTGTCGCGAACGACGCGACACGGCGCGGATAGGGAGGTGGGAAGAGGAAGGGGAAATTGCGCGAGCTTGCGCAGAAATATGGCTGGCGGACGAACGGACGCGAGCTTGAGGCTGAACCCGCTAGTCGGCGCTGGGCCACGCCACGCGAAGCGCCTTGTGGTTGCGGAGCTTGCAGAGAGGAGCTGCCAGCGCGGCAACCTCTCGATGCCTCTACGGCGGGCTAATGAAATCTCCAGAGCGCCGCGTTTCCGCTTGAAACTGCCCGCAGACTCGCGACACGCCAGACGTTCCAAAAGATGCGGTACCTCAAGAGAAAATGCCGTTGTCTCGAGCTGAAGAAGCACCGTGACCACGAACGGCTGTGATCCTCGACCACCTGTCCGTCGTCAGTCGAGTCGAGAAGGTTTCGCCCAAGGTAGAACGTCGTTGAACGCCCGCTGAACGTCCTTCCAACTGTTTGTCGTCGCTGTTGAGGCTGACCAACCAACCGAGTCTATGTTTTCATTGAGAAAACGACGCGATAACGCTGTTCCTTAGTCTCGTTGACCGGTCGTCCTCGACGTCATCGTCGTCCTCGACGTCATCGTCGTCGTCGTCGTCAGAGGAAGTGGAGGAGGAGGAGGAGAAGGAAGAGGAAGAGGAGGAGGAGGAAGAAGAGGAGGGAGGAAGGAAGACGGTGTGACAAACAGTGTTGTTCGGTGAGAGGTCGACGTCGTCCCGCGTTGCTGAAGTTGTGGATTATGATCGACGAGCTTGTGGCGGGACCAACAGAACCGGAGGACGCGTCCTTGGAGCCCCATTCGACGAGGCAGTGGCGTCAGTCGTCGCGCGGAGATCAACGAAGTTGCGGTTTCCGGTGAGGAAGAACGACAATACGAATCGTTTACCGGACGAATTTTACGAATCAACATATCAAGTACCGTAGCAACGATCGACCGTCTATGAGAAGCTTCTCGATCGTTTATCCTTGATCGTCGTGACGAGTGTTCGAAGCCGTACGGTGTCACGCTCCTCTCGGTTCTCTCGCGGTAATTCGTGGCCTTGCAACAGGAGCATGCGACGGAAGGGCTGTCTTTTATTTTTCTCTATGCCCCGACCGACGTCTTTTCTCCAGGAACGCGTCATCCGTGGCTCCTTCTAACCCCATTACAATCCATTACAATCATCTCCTTAGGCATACTAACGTAACCGAAGATTTCATTAGAAGAGCAAGCGAGGAAGCGAGGAAAAGAGGAGGAGAAAGAGGGTGAGACGTTGAAGGACGAAGGAGGAAGAAGGAAGAAGATATTACGGGTGACGACGGGTTCGTTTCCCCTCTCGTTGTACCAACGTAACGTAATAAAATAAGTGTACGATCGTGTTGAGAAGAGGAGAGGCGTCTTTGGAAGAAGACGAAGAAGATTCCTGAAGACGGGTGCGTGTTCCGCGCTGTTTTCTTCCTAATTACGATATTATCGAGTACGCTGGTTGGCGGGTCCAAAAACGTAGAGTATTTTTAATACACACACACAGAGGCAGGTGCGTGGCACGCGTTACCTTACGCGTGCGTGCCGTGTCCAGGTGGATGGTAATTAAGCGTAGAATTTAATCGACGTTTAACGTTTTATCCGTTTCGAGAAAGGGTGCAAGACGACGAGGAGTGGTCCAACTTAATAGCAAACGATCTTTCCAAGGTCCAACTAATAGTGACTTAAGTCTTATCGTTCGTTCTTCGTGCAACCGTTCTCGTGTGCGTACCTCGTGCTAGTCGACGAGCCGTGTTGTTTATGGCCCTAACGTCGAATTATCGTGGCCGAAATGTTTCTTAGAACGCGTTAGAGACTTGTACCTGTAACGTTAAGTGTCCGTTTCATAGCGTTTCGTGAACAAGCGTCATTTGTACCTCCTCGCGAAGCTGTCACGCGCGAAATCAACCCCTGGTTCCTCGCGAATTGGCTACGTCGTTTCGGTTGATTCGTCGTGAGAGAAGAAATAAATAAGATAAGCTAAATAATTAAGCAAACAAACGAAGCAAAAGATAACAGAGAGGAGTGGTTGTTCGAGACTGAACTTGTGAGAAGCTGAAAGTCGAAGAGGGAACCAAGGTACAGAGTGACTTTCGTAGTGAGTCGGAGTGTTCGCCGTGGATCGAAGAGAAGTGGAGGGTCGGTGTTGAAACACAGGATGCGTGATCAAGCAAGGCACTAGCTATGACGACTTCGAGCAGATACAGCAGTTACAACTGTCTTACCAGCTGGGACAGCTACGACAGAATACCAAGGTAGTAAAGTGATATTTTATACGAGATTTTCCATTATGGGATTGGCCCGTTTTAAGTGGCTCGCGCTTTTAAGCGGGGTTCATGATTCACGCCGCAGGTATCCTATTCCGGTTAAAAACGATGCTTTCACCGAATTGTCGATGAATTATTCCGACGAGTCTTGCCTGCCTTAGCCTCGTTGAATCAGTCTCGCCTTCTGTTTTCGTTGCCACGTCGTTAATAGCGTTACTGAATTAATAAATATACTCTAATATTTTAATTAATATATCTGTTTCATCGTGAAGATGTTCCTTGCGAAGAAAATTCTTCCCTCTTTGTTGCTTTTAATAAGACAAAGTTTGCATCTGAAAGGATAGTAGTTTCGGATATTATATAGGAAACTTTGGACGAAAACTTTCGTTAAAACGAAGAACATTTCGTGCTTCAATTTTTTAATTGCGTGCTATTTACTGGGTTATTCCGTCTTCTTGGTTTTTCAGAATATCCAAGGTAATTTTAATAAATATCGATCGAATATCTTCAAATAATTCCTACTCTTCGATGAAACCAGATATTTCCCTGCACCGATTATTTTTTCGACATTTTACGAATATTTACGTAAACTTCCTATGTACGAAAAATATATTCGACAGCGAGTTTAATGCAAAAGAGATCGAGATAAACGGTTAATGCGGAATTGCGATTAAACGCTATAAATACTGAACGAAGAACGGAGAACACTTTCGATTCAATGTTTATAAAATTAATTTACTCGAAGCTACGTTCCCTATTAAACTACCATGCAGTGTTATAAACCGATTGCTAATAAAATAAACCTCGAATAGGTGGTCGAAACGCGTAGTGGTCGAGCGATCGTGGAAAAGAAAACATTGGGATTAGGAGAAAAATTCGTTGCGTTATTTTTCCTGAAAATATCCTATTTCTTTATAGCAACGCATCAAAATTTCTTGTTACCAGGCCGCGCGCTTCAGCCAGGCGTATTTCTTTAGTCTTTCGAGACAGAGAATGTAAATTTGCTCGTAGATTTTCACAGGCACTCGGTTTTTATCGGTTACACGCTCATACCCGGCGCGCAGTTTAAGCAGGATTACTTTTTACACGGGAACGATGGTAATCCAATTATAAAACAATCTGTTTCACTGCAGAAAGTCAATAGAAAGGACACCTGAAACGCGTGTCGCGCGCATTTCTTTCGTTTTCGAGTAACGCCGACTCTTTTCCTTTTTTCTCTCTCGTTTTCTTCTTCCCCGTCGACGTTCATTTAATAATGTGACGCACAGAAAATTACGGTTTGACGTGCACGCTATTTCACCCAAGAAAAGTATGACTCAGGACAACGTTTACCAAGCTGTCGCTGGGAAATGGCTATTGATGATATGAGCTAATGCGAAGTCATTCTACCTTCCTGCACAACGATTTCGTTTTCTATACAACCAAGCAAATTTCCAAAGTATCTCTTTTGAACATACCTTCCGATAACCGCGAAGTGGTGATTATGGTCGAAGAACAGATTTCCACTTCTTGCGCAATTTTCCTCAGACGTGATTCTTCTTAACTGAAAGCCACCTGATGAATTAGAAACTATTTATTTATTAATTTACTCGGTTAATTTCATTTCTATTCTCTTGTAATTTATTGTCTAACACGAATTCGTGACTGACGTGCACTCTTCGAGCTTTCTTCAGGATTAACAGCTTTTGCAGGAGGATTTATTAACGCAAATTATATGTTATTAACGTATTAAATGCAATAAGTGTTTGTGTTAATGTTCGTCGAGATTTGGACGATTTCCAAAATTGATATTTTAATAAATTAGTAATATTAGTAATATTTTTAATATTTTAATAAACCAGTATTAGAGTACAGTACAGTCTTCCCTTCGCTCAATTTTTCTCATTACAGAAGCGAGGCTTTAAATAATTAATTTTAAGTTACTTCGACAGGGAAACTGGAAGTAAAGGAATACACCAATATCGTATACATTTTCTTATCGAACCCCTGAGAAAGTTTCGTGTCACGGAAGATTATAAAAAGACAAGGAATTTCTAATAATCGATGGCGGCATTTCATTGTCCCCGATGCAAATCGAATTTCGAACAATCTTCTCACCGCGAAACAATTAATCGAGCTCCTACTTCCAACTATTATTTTTCTCAATCTCCAAACGAAAACGAGCTTTTTCCTCGCGACCAACGCGTCTGCGACGTCCAACACAGAGACGTCATGGACTTCTCCTTCGGAATTGAACGATTTTAATTTCGACGAGTCAGTCACTCGCGTTTGATGCCAGCGAAAGTTGCTCGTCGCGTTTCCATTACATACTTCGATACACGGTCGTTCGATCGACTACGAATTCGATTACCAATGATCCGCCTTTTATCGACGAGTCCCGTTTCATTTCCAGCCGCGTCGTTTACGCGTCCAATTTCCACTCGCGTGGTTTTCGCCTCGGATTCCCGTGCTTCTTCGTCGTGCAACTCCTTCGCGAGCAACTTGCGCGGAATCAATTCTTGGGACAGAATGGAGAAGTTGTAGAAATATAGTAACCATGGAGGATTTGTAAAGGAAACAGATATCGGTGTACCTGTGGGAAGAGGCGGTTGATGGAAGTTGGAAAAACCGGATTGTAACGTCGAACTGGTTCCATAGTTCGATTCTCCGCGCAGAATACCGTGATTGTTGGCAAAACTATGGCAGGCATGTGGTTAGGAGAAATCGACGTGGAAATTTAACGTGCAGCGAATAGAGGTTAGGATCGATGGACGATGCCATCGATACAGAATGCTGGATTGTAATTTGATTTAGTTTGTACCGCCGTTTATTAAAATAGACCGTTAATCCGTGGATGAATAGCTGTTGCTTGGGTCAGAGGTGGCCATCTGACAGGCAGTGAATTATACTAACCTACCTATCGTAACGTGCAACATTTATCATAAAAGCAACGTAATTATTAATTGTCATTCGTGACCTACATGCTAGTTCGGCTGATGTAAGTTCAGCTCGTAGGAGGCAGTTCTTCACGTACACCAGCTAGCTCCTTAGAGTGTAAGGGTGCTCTTTCAGATTCCCTTCGGTAAATCTTTATACAACTTCTTCAGCCGCCCTATAATTAGGATCTATCGAGATAAGTTCGGTTCTTCTTCGGGGATTCTCGAAGTAACACTCTTGCAATATCAATCAGAAACAGTTTCAGAATTCCACGTTCAGCTTGCCGTCAGAAGTATCTTCCTTGCCAGAGATTTACGATGCTCCGTGCAATGCTAGAAAGTTCGCTAAATCTGGTCTCCTCTTCAGAACGCTGGTATCACGACGCGTCGTAAAAGAATTACCCGGATCGAAGACTTTCCGTCGAATTGCAAATTGACTTCTCCCCCCGTCGGCCACGGTGGCACGCGCAACGTGTTAATTAAGATTCGCGCGGAAGCTCGTTCTTATTCCCCGAAGACCATGCGCAAAGCTGGAGTCCACTGTTCTCGCGCTTCCTTGGACAATTGAGGGACAAGTGGTCGGTAAATATTTGACACGCAATCCTAATTCTGAATTTGCGGGTCCGGCTAACTAAGGGCTGTGTGTATATGCATCTCGCCACTTGTCGTTAAACACGTTGACACTATGCTTGGATCGTTTCGCGTTTAATTCGAGCAACCGTCACGACGCGTCTTCTGCACGTGAATTGTAATTAACACGCATCTCCATCAGGGATTTCGATCATTCATTAGACCGTAACGTGTTAATCTATGATCACTTGGGAATGATTCGGTGGATTTTTATATTGACAATTGGCTATCAAAATTTCTACTTGTATTTATACCGAATTTCTTTCACTTACGTAATGTGTCTTTGACTGAGGAATTCTTAAACTCCTTTAAAATTATTGGGTCCTGTGGAGTACGTGGAGAATCCAAATTTTCATTTCTTCAATTTTTAACGAGATCCTTCCTCGTATGCTGAGATTCGTTTCGTTCTTTAATTATATTCTATTTCATAGAGAAATTCCAATGAAATTTGACAAATTGGAATAAACCGAAATGAAATTTTCGCCACGATTGCAGAGTCACTAGAAGATCAGTTGTACCCTGTCTAACCCCAAAACAACTGCAAAATTAGAAGAAATTCTCGAGACCCTTAACGTTCGCCGTTGCTTTACAACCCCTGCTTAAATTCGGTCTTAAATTTTCAAGAAAATAGTTCACACGGGCGTCGACCCAAATCCGCTAATTGGTTATCAGTGACGGTTTACGAGCTTTTTGCAAGCAACGGGACAGCTGTGACATTTACACATGCCCATAAACCCGTTCCAAGGTTGTAATTCCGTCGCACCTGTACGTTTATTCATACAAAGATCGACACTTCACTTTCCCGGAGAACGTTTCGCGAAAGGGAATCGTTCTGCCGCGATAACGGTCTTAAGTCTCGAATTGACGTTTCATAAATTATTCAACGTCCGTTACGTTCTCCCGATAAACGCGTTATAAAGCGTATGTACATCTGGTGGGTCTCGTTGCGTCTTCTCGCGCGACGATGATCCGAGACGCTGTAATCGTTCACGGCTCTTAAGCTGTAATTAAATTCCGATTAAAGCATTGCATGCTGCTCGAGTTACACGCGAGAAGCTTAAGAATAAATACGAACGGAGGGAAACAATGGGTGGCTTGTTCGCAGGAGTAATGAGGGAGCGCGGTGTAATTAGTCCCGGAGCGTGTCTCAATTTTCGCGCTGGAAATTGACTCGTTACAAGCTCAAGCTCGCTACGTTACTTTTCCAACTTCTATTATCTAACTTTCGTTCTTACGTAGCTCGTTGATTCCTCGCTGTATCGCATTTCGATAGCACGGTGCTCTTACGAGCTCAGGAGTGACGAGGACAATACGAGTGGAATCGGTGAATATCGGAGAATACGCTGTCATTATAAATGCGGGGATGTCATCAGTTTTGCATGTGAATTATGATACCGTGTAATAAAAAGACGATAGACATGGAATCGTGCAGTCTTGTGATTT